ACACACACACACACACACACACACACACACACACTGAAATTCCAGGGCTATAGGTCTAATACACATCAGTACCCCCGCTCTGGCAGAGCATGGCTGCTCATTGGCCCCGGATCCCATAGACAAATGCCTTGGTGTCAGGCTTATCACAGGCCCCCGCTGCACCCCCAGACTGGCCACTTCTACCCCCACAGACCCAGCTCTTCTCTCCAGCCTCCTGAGATCCAAAAGACTGGATTCCTCAGCTCCAGGTGGCAGGGCTGGGTGTCCGACTGCGTGCCTAGGGCTCCGGAAGTGAGGGGATCCGGGAGGCCACCTGCTGGGCCAGGGCACCAGAAAGCCACACGGCGATCACACTAGCAGCCCTAGGGCAAGCCATGCCAGCTCCCCTCTGGACAGGCCTACAACCCCAGAACTGCCCCAAACCCCCAGGCCCAGCTGAACGCTGCACTCCCCCCTGGGCTGAGAAAAGCGTGGAGGAAGAGGAGAGGAGGTAGACAGGGGACGTTCTGCTAGAGCTGCCTCTGTATTACCCATGAACTGGAAGAGGGTGGGTCTGTGAAAGTACCAGATATTGCCATTGGGAGTCCCACCACCCCCTAAGCCTTTTCCTAGACCTTCTCAAGGTGCCGGCCTGCAGCAAGCCTGGGCACACAGGCTTCTCCCTGACCTCAGAGCTCCGAGGAGCAGGGGAAGAATGAGGTGACACCCTCCCCAGAGCTAAAAGCCTATATGTCCAAGAGACAGGGGGCAGATGTTAGTGGGCTACATCATCCTCAAATAGAGCAAAGTGACCCCTGATGAAGGGGCCGCCACAGTGGGGCACATCAATCCACCATGCAAAACATACACGGCAGGGCTATGATCCTGCCCTCTGTTTTCACACTGAGAAACGGAGGTCTGAGTAATTAAGAGACTTTCCCAGGGTCGTGAAGATGGTCTCGGGCAGAGCCAGGACCACATACAGGGCCTCTGACTCCTGGCCATGGGTGCTGGGATCAGAGGTTTGGGATGAGTCAGAGGGAATGCTCTGCCCCCACGGAGTGCCATACTCGAGGGTACCGAGCACCAGGTACAAGGCACCATTCTCTGCCTCAAGCTCGGTGGCCCAGGCAAAGCAGAGCCTGACTACTGCTGAGGCCCTGGCCCAGCAGCCCAGGATGGCCAGGATGGCCAGAAAGCTGGGCTGCCCCCGCCCTCACTGAGCACCCTCATTACAAAGGCCTATGTGTCTGTGGGGAACCTGAAAGTTCATCTAATCACCCCAGGCCCTGTTCCACAGGGAAGGCCAAGGCTAGAAGCATCAGGCCTGTGTCCATGCAGAAGTGGGAGCACTCATTCATGCAGAAAGGGTGGAGAGAAGGTGTGGAAAGAGGAAGGAAGGGGAACTGGGCAAGGGGGTGTGGCAGTGAGAAAGGAGTGGGGGACAAAGGACAGTAAGAAAGAGACAGAAAGAAGAGAACAAAGGGAGAGGAAGAAATGGAAAGAAAGATAATGAGAAAAGAGAGAGGAAAAGAATGGGCAAAGTTTGGAAGGGGGAGAGGAAGAGAGGGAAACTGAGAGCTAAGGGTTGGGGGCAGAGGGCAAAGAGTTATGAGTGGGGAGGGGAGGAGAGACACCAACCGGAGAGAGACGAAGATCGGAGCCGGTGGAGAGGAGGGTGCTGGGAGCCGGCGTTGTGCCCCATGCCCTGCAGCTTGGCATTGTACACTGCCCACACCCACCCCAGGGGAGCCGGCATGGAGGGCAGGCAGGGTGCAGGGGAGCCAGGCAAGGAAGGCACCACACCCATGGCCCAGGGGACAGAGGGACACAGGACACACAGAGAACGCCAAGGGACAAGGCATTAAACAAGACAAAACAAAATAAAAACAAAGAGAAAATCAAGATTAGTTGCTGTTCTGAGTCTGGGATCTGGGCACACACTGGAGGGAGCTGAGGAGTGCGTCAAACAAGAAGAGACGCGGATCCAGGGTCTTGCTTTTCCAGAGGGCACGGGGGACCTCCTGCTGTCTGGCAGGATGCCAGGGCTCTCTTTTCTAACCCCAGTGTGGAGAGAGGTCTGGGACCAGGGGTGTTCAAACCTTCTCCACCCCTCACAGTCAGCATGGCCCCATCCCACCACCTCTCTCCTCTCATGGCACCTGCCTCTATCCTGCCTTCAGCTGTGACCCTGCCAGCCTGAACCCAAGGGTCACACTCCCCAGCATCCTAGCATCCCTTGGCCCTTGCTTGGTTCTTCCGTCACCCCCACCTTAGTAATCTTCTTTCTACTGTCACCCCCACCTTAGTAACCTTCTCTCCCTACACTCTTCTCTTCTACTCCTAACCAAAGCCACTGGGCACCAAGGCTAAGTCCTTCAAATGAGCCTGCCTGGAGGCATTGCGAGGACCTGCTGTCAGCCGTGTATTCACCCAAGTTGACTACTTTACAGCACGGGGGCCACACAGTGGTCAATATCACCCCGGTCTACCTTCCAGGAAAACATAACTTTTTGTTTTCCTCTACTTTGCAGGCTGCTGCATACTGTTTTTCTTGGCTGGTTCCCCCTCACATCTCCAATCAGTAAATGTGGGAGGCTCCAGGACTCAATCCTGGCACCTCTTCTCAATCTGTGCTCCCCCACTCCATGTTATCATGCAGTGCCAGGCTTTACATGACATCCATATCCTGACAACTCCCACATTTCTAAATGCCAACCTCTCCTGCTTAAACTCCTGACCACCTGGCCATATCCAACCACCTCGGTCACTTCTTGGGCACCTCAAATCTAACATTACCAAAATCGTACTTCTAATGTTCCCTCTAAGCCTGCTCTTCCCCTGTTCTGATCTATCTCAACAAACAACCCCTCCAACCTTTAGTCACTCAGCACAAAAACCTTAGGGTTTTTCTTGATTTCCTCTTTCAAATCCCACATCTACTCTATCTATAAATCTTGATGGCTCCACCTCCAAAATATTTCTACAACTGGCCACTTTTCACCATCTCCACACTACCACCCGACTGACAGCAGCAGCCTACTGCCTCATCTCCCTCCTTCCATCCTGGCCATACTGAGACTTTTAGAACAAGTCAGATGATGCCACTCCTCTGCCCCAAATTCTCCCTAAGGCTTCTCACGATACACAGTGAATGACACAGTCCTTACAGTCACCTACACAGCCCACTGCAAGCTGGCCCTGACTGCCATCACCTCTGATTCCATATCCCGCTATGCTCCTGATATCAAGCACACCCCACCTCAGGGCCTTTGCACTTGCTGTTCCATCTGGCATATTCCCTCACCACCCATCAGAGCCTTCCCTGACTGTTCTATGTAAAGTGCAACCACCCACCCACCCTCTGTCCCTCACTGCTTTATTTTATCTTTGTGGCATTTATCACCCCTCTGACATATTATATATTATATATGTATTTGCTTATTTGGTTATTTTCATCTCCACCATGAAAGCAAGGTTTTTTGTCTTTTTAGTTTACCATCATGTTTCCAGACCCTAAACTAGCATGTAGCACAGATTAGGGACTCATGTTGAATGAATGATTAAATGGACCTTGATCTTATGTCCTATTTCCATGATGAAATGTAAAACATGGGTTCTCAGTTTAAGCTCCCAAAGCTTAACACCCATATTTCTTTATATCTGTATCCATCCTTTATTTTTATTTCACGAAGAGGTACTTCACCTTCTGGTTTAGCATAAAGTATCCACGTGAGTTTCTAAGTCTATCCTAGACTCCTACCTCCTTAGAGGTCGTATTCTATCAATTTCCTTCTCTTTTAGCTTTTTCTTCTCCCTCTTTCCTCCATATCCAACCTCCCTTTTCCTCGTCTAAATACATTCTCATGGTTCCTGTATTTACAAAAACAAAGTTCTCAATATCTTGCTACCCTCTTTAGCTACCATCCTCTTTCCTGTTATCACAAAACCACTCAAAAGAGTAGTTGACACGCTGTCTTCACTCTCTCTACACTCACTTCTTGATCCTTCAGTCCGGTCTCCGTCACCACCGCTCTATTGAAACTATGCCTTTGAAAATCCCCAGAGCCACCTAGTCGGCGAGCCCAGTGAAATCTGTTCGGTCCTCCTCCTCGTGCCCCCTCTACAGTCATATCACTAACCCCACCCCTCCTCCTGGAAACCCTTTGCTATCTTGACTCTGTGATGACTCACTGTCCCCACCTTCTCTTGCCACCCTGAACATTCATTCTCAGTCCACTTTGTGGCCTCCATTCCCCTATGGCTATTTGATCCTAAGCTCTTTTTCTCTCCATGCCCTGACTTAGAGATTCCATCCACGCTCAAAACTTTCATCTTCACCTTTGTGAGGATGACTCCGAAATCTGCACCTTCTTCTCTTCTAGGCTCCAATTCAGGATGCTCAACTGTCTCCCGTAGCATTCTGCCTGGAAGCTCCACCAACACCTCAAACTCAAAGATCCAACACTGAGCTCTTCATCTTCCACCAAACCTGCTCCTGTTCCTGACTTTTCGGCTTGTTGATGGAACCATCATTCTGTTTCTAGTCATGGGGCCTCAGAATCCTCTTTAATGGCTTCCTCTCCTTCTACTACACCCAATCAATTTGTAAATGTATTGGTTCTACTCCCACAGTAGCCTTGGCACCTATCTCTTCTTTTTCACTTCCACAGTTAGCACTCGGTCCCCCTCACTCAGGCTGTTTAATAAGCAGCTACATCTCCCAGCTCTGTGTCTCTCCCAGTTTGCATCTTTCCTGCCCAGACCTACCAGATGCATCTTCCTAAACCACAGCTCTGATCATGGCATATTTCCCCAACAAAAACACAATAATGGCTTCTGACTATAACACAATAATGGCTTCCTACATTGCTGTTAGGTTAAGATTCAAGCTCCTTAGTCTGGTATTTAAGACCAACCAGAGGCAGACACCAAGCTACCTTTCTTGACTCTCTCTCATGCAACCTATATGTTCTCAATCTACTCTATTTTTCAAATATTTCCTATGCTTTACTATCTTCACTATGAACCCTCTCTGTCTAATGATGCCACCCACTTGCAAAATCCTACTCATCTTCTTAGGCTCTGTTTAAAAACCAAAACTCAACACAGAGCCTCATCAGTCTCTCTAGTTAATAGTGATCTTCCTTTCTTCACTCCCACAGAACTTTCTCCACCCTCTCTCTTACAAATTACTTCATTTTAAAGGTCCAGTTCTTCTTCCCCTTATTAAAGTCTAGGCTCTTTAAGGAAAAGATATACATCTTATTTCCAATATGCACTGAAACCTCTACCTCTAAAGATATCTGAGATCAATCCAGTCACAGAAACAGGATCAGAAGATAACTTGATTGGATTCAACAACTCTGACTCTTATTTCTTTTTCTTGTCTTACTGCACTGGCTAGGATATCTAATGCAGTGTTAAATGACAACAGTGATAACAGGCATCTTTCTTTGTCCCTTGTGTAATGGGAGTGCTTCTATTGTCTCACAAGAAAATGTAATGTGTGCTACATGTTTCTAGTACCTACTCTTTATCAAGTTAAGAAAACTACCCCTACATTCTCTTAGACCCAAACTTAAATAAGACATAAGGAATAGCTGGATTACAGTGGAATGAACCAGGGACATAATACTGAGATATGGAGGACAGCCAAAGAGGAAAAGGAAGACCTGAGGGAGAAAAGCCAAGAGAAACCAGATCAAGTTCATGGCCATGAAGAGCTTCCCCCACAGATATGAGCTTTCTTTACTCATGTTGAAGCTTATACTCCAGCTTCTTGCAGAAGAATGTAGAAGCAGCAGAAAGTGGTGATGCTGGAAGTCTAGTCCCTTGCTCCTAGACTATTCTATGCACTGATCCTGCCAGTGCACCTTTATCTACACAAGCACCGCAGACACCTGCAGGGCTATTGAGGTAGTTGTGCAAGCAGGACCTGCTGACATAAATATATTTCATGACAGGGCATGGACTAAAGAGGTCCCTTTATAGCCTTGGGGAACAATACAACTGTCCCCTTTATACATCTCATCCCTTCTCCTGAGTTGCTCACTGTTGATAGAGAAGATGGTAGGGTTGGGATGGAAACACCACACCAAAAAATTTCTCCCTCCCTATAACTTCTTGGCAGCCAAAGCCTGAGCAGCTACAGAATATGGGGCTGACAGTTAAAACCTCAGGAAGAGGAGAGAAAAGGCTGAAGGGAGATGCAATATAAGATGGACATCCATCCAGAGCCATTATGGCATGGCTTCCTGTTGAGCTAGCTCCAGGAGAGCTGTATGGAAGGGTTATGGTAGGGGGAGCAAATTCATGCTGCTCCCCAGAGAAAAGACTCCTGGATCCTGCCCATGACTAAGCTAGTGTGTCACTATTCCTCAGGCCACCATCCCAACTCTGTAAAATATTGAGAAGACATTCCTCTCCCTTCAACAAAACCAGGAAGAAAAGCATCTCTGCTGACAAAAAAAGCCAGGAGTTCCTTTTCTCCCCGGAGCCACAGAAGAAGACAGCAGCCCCATGTGGACCACCCCATGGAGTATTTCACCCCTGGAGTTGCAGAGCTTCTCCTCCTGGGCTTTGGCTCCCAGGTAAAAGCAAGTGTGCTGCCAGACCAGCTGCCCAGTAAAGGGGAAGCCCTGATTGTCAAATTTCCATGGCATAAATACTTCCAATATGACCAATTTCAAGTTACTGATGGCTGAAGTGGGAATTGTGCTCTGCTCTGATGTTCGGGAGCAGACTGTCAGTGCCCCCACACCCAGGTCCTGGACCCAGCCCAACAGCCAGCTGGCCTGCCCCCACCTACTTCCCTAAACCCACCCTACATCCCCAGGGAGGGATGTCTCCCTCTCTCCCTGCAGCTGGCATGGTGACTCAGCTTCCCCTAAATTTAGGAAAAGAAGTGGAAGACAGAGTCAGCTGCTCAGACTCTTCTCTTCCCTGAGCTCTTACCGCCCTGTCAGCTGAGGAGCTTAACAGGAGGGCCGTACCCCCGGCCTCTAACCCACCCCTGCCTGGGCATACCTCCACAACAAAACCAACCCATAGGATTCCCCTCCAAGTTTGGCTGCCCCTAGGGAATGGTCATAGACTTAGGCCAATGGGAAGGAAGGTGGAACCTTCCGGTCCCTCCTAAATTGGCCCTGAACACTCTGCCATTTCTTGCCTTTATCTTCCCAATACACTCTTCTGGTTGCCCACTCGCTGTCCTCTCTCCAGAAAGATAAGGCCATTCTCAGATGAGAAATGGAGCTTTGTTTCTCAGTGCCTGCTTCCCTTCCAGGGCTGGTCCTGTAGCAAGGACTGACAGGACAGCTGAACGAGATGGGGAACCCTGGGCCTCCCCATCAAACAGAAATATTCTGAAAGGAACCACCTGGATTGAACACTCAGGTAGAGCCCAAGAGCTTCAAAACACACTCTCTCAGGCTCTGTTAGGCCTCTGGGAGGGCCCCAACTTCCTCATCTGGGTCTACAGAGGCCTTCCTCCAGCCTTCTCCATGTTTCTCCAAGGAACTGAAGTCAGAGGACAGGGAGCACTGCAGGCAGTTTCATAGTGTCTCCTCTCACCTAGAAATCTGTACTCCAGCCCCAAAGTCAATACCTCCAGGAAGCTTTCCCTGATTGCCCTATGTGGTAAAGTTTGCTTTCCCTGGGCTCTGGGGCTTTGGGCCCACCTCTGTTGCAGCACACCCTGCACTCTGTTAGAATGAGCTGTCTACGTACTGGTCCCCTCACTAGACTGGTAAGCTCCTGAAGGCAGGAACTGAAAAACAATTATCTTGAATCTCAGTGCCTGGCCTGGAGACTAACAGACAATGATTGCAAGAAGGGATGGCTAGCACACGGTTCCTGACAGCCTCTTCCCCAGGCCAAAGCAGCGCCTGCAGAGGTGTGATGGCTGTGCCTGCATGTCCCCCAGCAAGACCAACCCAGACCAGAGGGAAGGCATGGAGGACGTAAGGAAGGGATACCCAGAACTGATAGTCCCTGAGGCTCTTACCTGCTACCCGGTGGGCCACCAGCCCCTCCAGGTTCAGTGGCTCTTCCTCTGGAGTTCGGGATGGATCTGAAGTTGCATCCTTTGGTGGGAGCTGAGGCTGAGCATTGAGGCCAGGGAGAGAGGCTGGGGGCTGCTGAGGCCCTGAAGGGCTGTGGATGGTTGGAAGGAAGGCAGAGCAGGAGGAGGAGGGTGGACTCTTTGGACAGAAACTCTGGTCAGGCCCAGCTGGACAAGGATGATAATCATAAGGTGAATAAGGCCTGCCAGGAGGGACAGACTCCAGGGAGGCCCGTGGAGCCAGCTCAGGGGTTCCCAAGGAATGCCCACTGGGGATGTAGCCAGACCGAGACTGGGTCAGTGGATGGGGCTGGCAGGAGGAGCCAGAGAGGGGCTGGGAGGAGAGCGGGGAGGCCCCTGGCCAGGCCCCTGGGACACTCTGGGACTTGTGCAGGGGGGCGGCAGCCGAAGCCGGCTCCAAATCCAGCATCAGCATGTTGAGTGTCTCAATAGACTGCTCAATCTCCTGTTGGGAGGCTGCCCTTGGGAACTCAGGGAGGCCAGGGATGGCGGTCTCTGCCAGAGGCTGGGGGCTGGGCCTGCTGGGCCCAAAACTCTCCAAGTGGGCCCTTTCCTGCTGGCGAGGAGGTGGGTGAGGCTGCTGCTGCCAGGAACTCAGGCCTCTCTGCACAGCCTCCCGGCTGCTTCCCCCGCGGGCTGGGGCTGGAGGCAGCTGGGGCTCGGTTTCCGGAAAGGACTGAGAGCGGAACATACTGCTGGGGTCATGGCTATAGTGGGAGGTGGTCATTGACTGTGGCCAGGCTGGGTGGGGCCCTTCCCGCTGGCAGCCAGCTAAACCCTCCTGTGCAGAGTAGGAGGGCCGCATAGGGGCCAGGTGGCCCGCATGGGCAGGCACTGCCCGGCTAACAGGCTCGTAGGGGTAGCCACCACCATTGACCATTGGTCCCCCGGGACAGGGCTTGTCCAGACCGTTGGTCAGCGAGGACAGGGCCTCTGGGTAGCCCCCTTCACTGGTGCTGGCGACTCCGTCCAGAGAGGAGAGTGTGCCCATGCTGCCCGCGCTGTGCCCATCCTGGTTGGGCAGCTCATCGTCCAAGATGTCTGTCTCCCGCTCAGATGCCAAGGTCCCTCCATTGACGTGGACCTGGGCTGGGATGACGTGGCGGCCTGAGGAGGGCACAGCAGTGCCCCCCACGGGGCGAGAGCGGAGATGTTGGGTGTGGTACATGGTACCTTGCTTCTCTCGCTCTAAGCCGAAGCCACTGAGCAGGCGGTCCAGCTCACGCTTCTCCTCAGGACTCAGGGCAGCAGGGGCGCCGGAGGGGCCAGGGGCGGGCTCATCAGTCTTGTCTGTCTTGGTGGAGGCTGTAGAGTTGCCCGAGTCACTGCTCACAGAGAGGGTATGTTCCACGTGGTTGGGGGTGGCTGACAGGACAGGACGCGTGGCGTTGAGGGCCCCAGTGCTGCCATGCAGGGAGTCCTTCTTCTTCACCTTGGCATACAGGCTCCCATCCAGTGGCCCCTGGGTGTGTCCTACCACCTCTGCAAGGGAGAGAGCCAGAGGGGAGACAACAGACAGCAGACGTCAGTGGGAGGCAGGGGCCTCTCCTATTCTCCCAAGGAAAGGAGGCTAGAGTGTCCAGTTCCTGGATCCTAAAACCTCCTCACACCACCCAGAGAAAGACTGAGGATGGGCAAAGGTGAAAAGACAAAAGGACCCCAAGCCCCAACACCCAGCTTCAGGGCCAGGCAGTGGAGCCTAAGATTGGGCTGGGGGTCCTTGTCCTGGGGACGAGATACTGGGGTCCAAAGCCCAGTCCAAAGCCTGGCTTTGGCATTTCACCAGCTTCCCAAGGATGTAGAAGTGCTGAGCCAAGATGGGGCTCCCCAAAGCCAGAAGGCCCTGTGTCAGAGAGACAGGCTTTCCCTCTGAATGCTGGGGTCCAGCGACCAGGGTTGGAGGGGAAGCATCTTAGCAACTGAGATCACAAAAGTAGATGTTTTCATCAGGGGAGCTGTCCCTTATGTCATTCTGTCTGCAGACAGCTCTGGGGACCCCATGAGCAATACTTTTTCTGAAAGGAAAAAGTGAGCGCTGAGTGGCTGGGGGCCAAAAGGCTGACTCAGGAACCAAGAACTTTCCCCACCCAGAGGAGCTCAGTGATTTCACACCCTGTACAGTCAGCAGCTCAGCTTCCAGCCCTAACACACACACACACACAAACACAGGCATGCGCTCCTCCCCTCCACTCACTCCAAGGCAGGCCCCCAGTTGGAAAGAAAAGAAAACCCCCTCCCAAGCCCTGCACAAACTCCATCCCAGACACCAACAGTCTCACAACACAGAAAACCAGACACAAAGATGTCAGCAAGCGTGTGGATATAAACAGGCAAATACTGATTATAATAGCTAGCATGCAGTGAATGCCTATTCTGTGCCAAACACCTGGCTAGGCACTTAACACATACAAACATGCTAGTCCTGTAAGTCAGGGAGTATTATGCCTATTTTAAGGCAAGAGAAACTGAGGTTCTGAGAAGTAAAATCACTTATATGCAGACATATAATACCTGGTAAAGCTGGGATTTAAAAATCACAACAAATTAAAATTTCATTAAAATAAAACTAAATTGAAATAAAAACTAATTTAAAATAAAAACTAAATCAGAACTTCAAAGACCAGGCAAATTTTATTATTCTACACTGTCTCTCATCTCTCTCTCTCTCTCTCTCTCTCTCTCTCTCACACACACACACACACACACACACAGTAGAATAAAAAGGCAGCAGCAGTATCCCAAAATAAATACATCAATTTAAAGCCACAAGCATTTCAGAAAATACAAGCTCCTACCATGCCCAAGGATCAGCCCTCAGGCCAGAAGTGGCAGCCTCCAAAAATAAACACTTATATAGAAGCCCACAGCCAAAAACAAGTGATCAGACAACCGCAAAACAGGAACATCCTGATCAACATACACACACAAACCACAGGCCAACCAAGTGATGTCACCCAAGTGAGCACAGCGATGCCCAACAAAGGCGAGCACAGCACCGCCCAACACTGCCCACACACACCCCCTCGGGGCTAGATGCTCTGCCCATTGAACTCCAGAAACTTCACTCTGTCCCCAGTTTTCCCTGGCGCCCTGGGGCTTCAGCCAGCAGCAGGCCCCAAGTGACACTGGGCCAGGGTGCCACAGCCAAGGCTCACGGGGATGGGGCTGGCCTGACCTGGAAGGGGGTTTTGCCTGCGATAGGTCTGAATTTCCAACAGCCTCTCCCTTAGCCTGATGCCCCAAAAGGTGACTTAGATGCAGCTGCAGGCATGGCTGCCTCCCCCACCTGGCCTGTCATTGTCCCTACAGGGGTCGGTGCTGTCTGATGAGACACGCTGACTCTCATGCCATGGCCCTCCAAACAATGAGGTTCCTTGCTACACAACAGAGGACAGACCCCAGCAGGCAGTATGCAGAGGGGAAGAGCATTGAAGGAGGAGCTCTCTTCCACTCAGATTTCTGGGGGTGGTTATGCCCCTCAGACCGGCTAATGGAAGTCTGGAGAGCTGTCCTGCCTTCTCTCTGTGCCTGGAAAGCTCCTGGCCCTGGAGAAAGCAGGACCATTCCTGGGCCCTGTCCCCACTCTGTAGCCCACACCGAGACATGCCAGAGTGTTCCTCTTGGGCCAGGGATCTGTGCTCACATGGTCTGGGAAGTGGGAGGAAGAGCAAAGCACCGGGTGGAGTGTTCAGTGGCCTCCCCATTTACACTTAGATGGAAGGCAATGATAACCACTGGGTGCAAACCCATGCAAACCTGAGAGCATCCTTCCCATCCAGGAGAAAGCGGACCCAGTCCAGCAACTCACTTGGGTTCATAAAAGAGCTTTTGGCAAAAGAGCTAAGAAAGCAGCCCCCAGGCAGGAAGAGGGAGCGCACACTGATGACTGCTACCTGATACATGCCCCCGCTGGCCAGGTCCCACTCTCCATGGATTTTGACAATGTCAGTATTAAACTTATTCTGCCATGTAGTTTTCCCCGACATGGTCTACTATTGGCAGCAAAAGCATCAGGAATTCCAAGGCCACTAAGCCTAAGTAAGAAAATCAAAGTGTAAATTGTTTAAATCCTATTTGCTAAATACAAATGGAAACATCTAGTGCTGCCCTCCAAGGAGTTCCTGCCTACCCCGTGCTGGCCACCAGGCTGTCCCACAGTTCCACTCATCATCTTTGCATATCAAGGGGAGAAATGAGGACACCCAGGCTCATCCCGGGTCCGTCAGTGCACTGGCGTGGGCATGGCGCAGTGAGGTCACACACCCCTGCTCCTCCCGGAGAAGAAGGGGCAGTCTCCACCTCCACACTGGTACACACATGCCCTCCATTCCCTTCTCCCTTCCACCACGGCCACATTAAGAGCTATTTGCTGGGACCACAAGAAGCCGGAACACAATGTCGGTTTCAGTCTGTTAAGGCAGGAAGGGCAAAAGAGAGAAGCAGGCAGAGCAGGAGGAGGAGGGAACCCAACTGGGGAGGGTGGGGAGGGGCTTAGAGAGGGTGAGGGAGTTGGCTTTAAGGCTCTAAAGTCCCAACAGCCTCCACAGGCATGGCATGTTCAGGTAAGACCATCTCAGATAAGATGGTTGGATGCCTGGTGGGAAGGGCAGGGGCTGGAGGGAGGAACATGCCTGGTCGGGGCCTCAGAACTGGCAATGGTGACCATGGAGCAGAAGCATGACCCACAGGGGAAGCAGAAGCTGCAGGCAGCCCTGGGTGGAGAGCTCATGGGTCCCAAACCTGGGTCAGCCTGCGCCTCCCATCTCACGAGCCATCTCCCTGCCCAGTCCTCTAGGGAGGTCAACAAGCCCACCATCTCTTCAAGGCCCCACTTGCTTTGTGTGACTAGGTCTCCTCACTCTTCCCAGAAGCAGCTCCAAGCCCAGACTCCACCCTCACTGCTGAGCTTGACTGCACCAAGGGGCCCTTACTCCATGGCGGCCCTAATCCAGATGTGCGAGTCATGCTTTTGGAAGGCTCTGAGGAAAATCCCCAGCAGACTTGGATGCGGACCTATTCTCTAGGCTCCTTCCAGTCAATCACAGAGGTGTGTGTGTGGTGCTAGAAGCACAGTACAGGCCAGCATGCAGGAAAGGAGATGCGTCCTTCCCGTTCATTTAAAAAGAATGAAAGAAACAAATACAGGATGCTAAGGTGATACAGATTTGAGCATTTGTTTTCTAATTTTGATGTTCATAAGGCTCTCCTGGGGATTGTTAAAAATGTCAATCCTGGGGTCTTATCCCCAAAGATTTTCAGTCACAGGTCCAGGGTGGGGCCAAGAATCAACACTTTAGCTCTACAGGGGTTCTGGCCCTCATAAAGGTGGATAACATCTGGAGAAACCCAGACCCAGGTGGCCAGCACTTGGGGCTCTGGGATTAAGCACCCCTGCTTCTCTTACTAATGTCAAGTGTGGAGATTTTCCTTATTTAGATGGCAGGATAAAGGGCCCAACTCTGAAGAATAAAAGGCCTCAGCCTAGTTGACTGCGAGGAAGAAGTCTCCTTTGGTGAAGACTCAATAAGGAGAGACCCCTCCCTGTCCAACTAGCAGGCCTGTTTTGCATAGAGAATTATTTATTAAGGTTTTCAGGATGGGGCCCTTCATGATAAAAAGTCCTTTGGGTCCACGTCCAGCAGAATAAACAATTCATTAAAATACATTACTGAGAGCAGTGATGGCCAATCAACCTGGAGGAAAATCAATGCAGTGCCAATAGGAAGAGGCACAGTGCCCACCCTGGACACAGGCAGTCTGGAGGCAGACCAGGGCCCTGGCAGGCCTAGGGGGGAATTACAGCTCCTTAAACGTGGGGTGCCAAAGGCTATATGTGTCTGGGAGGTGGGTGAGCTTTGACAAGGAGTGAGGCTTGCCCAAGGGGCAGCTGGGACTGCAAGTTCTAGACATATTAACACTTTAGCCACAGACTCCCCCTAAGCCACAGACTCCCCCTAAGCCTAATCTGGAGGAAACCAGATTAGGACTGGGTCCAGGGCTGTTTAGGGGCAACCTGTGGGAGCTAGAGGATGGGGCTAGGTACCAGAGAGGCCACCAGGATGTGGTTCTGGAGAGGAGACAGAAGGGAAGCACCTCCTCCCACCCAAACCCTGTGCCAGACATGCCCATCACTCAGAGAGATGGTTCGCATTTTAATGGCCAAGTCCGCTTGAGTCAACCACTTAACCATGCAGATCCTGGCCTCTGAGCCTGCAGGGTTAAGATATGAATGCTTATTTGTAGGTTGGCTGAGTGACAGGATTCAGGAGCTAAGTACCCTGAGCTAGGCCTGGCATGGCCAGCACTCTCTATATTCTCTCTTCATTCCCCTTTTTACATTTTCAACAGTTTTCATCACACACAGAGTAAAGACCAACCCTCCTGGCTGGACATGCCAGACCTTTTGTCATCTGGCCCCTGCCTGCCTTTGGAAGCCTCACCTCCACTGTTCTCAGTACCCCAAACACCATCTGCTCTACTCT